AAGAATGGGAATTTCAGAACCCTTATTTGTCCTCATGAGGTGCCTATGCATAGACCAAGAGGAAGTTATCTGACTAGAACTAAGGGATACTGCATGGTTTAAAATCAGGAAAGGTGTACATCACAGCTGTAGCTTTTCACTGTATTTATTTAATTTGTTTATTGAGCAGATAATCTAAGGAGCTGGACTATCGAGGAGGAATGTGGCATCAAGATTAGAGGAAGACTCATTAACAACTTGGAGCTCTGGTAGCATAGTGCCTAAGGCATTTGACCGCTAACCAGAGGGCTGGTGGTTCAAACCCACCAGCCACTCCTTGGAAGGACGGTTGGGCAATCTACTTCCGTAGTGATACTGCCTTGGAAACCCAAGGAGGGGTCGCTATGAGTTGGGTCCGACTCCACAGCACGTAACAACAACAACAACTGGTATCACAGTATGTGTGTTTGTGGTTTGTAGCTACCTTAAATGAATAGATGGTTTGAGTTTGGTTTGGGGACACTGGATAGACTAGAGCCTTTGGGAACGTTATAAGTATAAGCAGTGACCAGTTAGTCCATGGATTCAATTGCTTCTGAGGTGTGCCCTGGTAGATAGGGGCTTATTTTATAAGAAGCCTATTTTGAGGGCCTGTTTCTCTTTCTAAATATCTTATTTATCTTATTTAGAATAGTTGAGACTTCATGCTGTTAAACCTCAGAGCACAATTACTTCAAGCTATTTCATTTAATCCTCACTGAATGAGGATGAGGTACACATTTTACAGATGTTACTGTATCTGCAAGTTAAGGCTGAAAATATTGAGGCTTAGAAAATTTAAGAAATTTGCCTAAGGTTACACAATTATATATGGTAGATCCTGCAGGTAAGTCTGACACCAAAGCTTTGTGGGGAGGGGTGGTCTTAACTACTAGACTGTATTCTGTCCCTTCTATTGCATGGGGTAGCAAATCAAAACCACAGTGAGATTTTAAAAAAAAAAAAAAAATCAGAAATCTTTAAACCTAACCTTAAGTACTGGTATGGAGAAATTGGGACCCCCATACATTGATGACGGGGATGTAAAATGGTGCAGCATCTGGGGGAAACAGGCAATTCCTCAAAAAGTCAAAGTAGAATTACTTTATGACCCAGAAATTCCACTCCTAGGTAAATACCTAAGAGAACTGAAAACAAATGTCCACACAAAAGCAGGTACGTGAATGTTCACAGCAGCAGTATTCACAACAGCCAAAAGGTGGCAACAACCCAAATGTCCATCAAAAGATGAATGAATGGATAAACAAAATGTGGTATATCCATACAATGGAATATTGTTTAGTCATAAAAAGGAATGGAGTTCTCATACATGAATGAACCTTGAAAACATTATATTAAGTGATAGAAGTCAGATACAAAAGGCCATATATTGTATAATTTCATTTATAAGAAATGTTCAGAATACTGCAGGCAAATCTATGGAGACAGAATGAAGATTGGCAATTGCCAGGAGATGTGGGCAGGGGGAAGTTAGAACTGACTGCTAACAGGTTTGAAGCTTCTTTTTGGGGAGATGGAAATGTTCTGGCACTAGTGGTAACTGTTGCACAACCCAGTGAATATACTAAAATCACTGTACTTTTAAATGTAACTTTATGTTACGTGAATTATATCTCAATTTTTTAAAAAGCAACTTCAATTCCAGATCTTGGAAGTCCTTGAATAATGAATTACGGAGTCCAAGTTTCATTTTGTGGGTAATGAAGAGTCACTGGAAGTTTCTAAGGAGGATAGTGACATGATACGGTCTTCTTTAGAGAGGCTCAGTATACAATAATGGGTGTGAGACTAGAGAAGAGGACAGTTACAAATGAAAAAGGAGACTTCACAGACCCCAGGGAACTGACTGGATGTTTCTTGAGGGCTTATGATGTCAATGTATTCACTTAATCTTCATAAATCTATGAAGATTATATAAGAGGAAATGAAAGGCAATTAGCTTACCCAAGGAAGGTTTGGTGGCACAGTGGTTGAGGGTTCGTTTGCTAACCGCAAGATCGGTGGCTTCAACCCACCAGCCATTCTGTGGGAGAAAAGACCTAGCAATCTGCTCCCATAAAGATGACAGCCTAGGAAGCCCTGTGAGGCAATTCTACTCTGTCTTATATAAAGGGTCGAGATGTGTTGGAATCAACTCAACGGCAAAGGGCTTTTAAGGTCCCACAGCTATCAAGTCAGAGTGCCAGGATTAAGCAGCAGAGCCCTCAAGCCGCCTCAAGTTCTCCTTCCTACTGATAATCTCATTGGATCCATAGCCTCAATTTCCTCATTTGCATAATGCTTCCCCAATAATAATAATAACAACATAAGAGGTTTTTTTTTTTTTTTTAATTGCACCAGTTAAAGTACTTATTTAGTGTCTGAAACATCGGCAGCAAAAGAACCCTGGTGCTGCAATGGTTAAGCACTCAGTTGCTAATGGAAAGGTTGGTGTTCAAACCCACCCAGCACCTCTGCTGGGTGATCTGCTTCCGTAAAGTTTATAGCGAAGAAAACCTTAGGAGCAGTTCTACTCTGGAACACATGGAGTCACCATGTGTTAGAATCGTCTTGACAGCAAGCAACATCAGCAGCACTCACTAAATGGAGCTCCGGTGGCGTAGGGGTTAAAGCATTCAGCTGCTAACCAAAAGGTGCGTGGTTTGAACCCCCCAGCTGCTCTGCAGAAAAAGCCTTGGCAGTCCGTTTGCATAAAGATTTACATCCTTGGAAACCCTATGGAGCTGCTCTCCTCCATCCTGGAGAGTCACTATGAGTTGGAATGGACTGATGGCAGTGGGTTTGGTTTGGGGCTTAGGAGTCCTTGGATGGTGTGAATGGTTAACTATCTGGCTACGAACCTAAAGGTTAGGGTTCAAACCCATCCAGCGATACCTCAGAAGAAACCTGATGATCTCCTTCCAAAACGTCACAGCCCTTGGAAGTCCCATGGAGTGTAGTTCTACTCTGAAACACATGGGGTCATCATGAGTTGGAACTGACCCAACAACTGGTTTGGCTTTTTTACAGAATCACTAGTATTATGAGGTTAAGAGATAGAACATGACAAAAATGTTAACCATTACTTAGAAGTTGATTCATCCCTCAAATCTCAAATATTTTAAATATTTTAAGAACAGTATGTGGGGAATTATTTTAAGTGACAATATCCTTTTCCCAAAACCATCTAAAGTGATGTCCTAACAATGGAGAACTGCTTCCAAGAATTGGACTCCAGTACTATTAACAAGGGACAACGGGGGTCTGGGGGATTTTAGGTCAGCAAATATCAAATGAGGGGATTTCCCACGAGGCCCCGCCCCCGGCTGAGTCACCAAAGCTGCTTGTGTGGAGACTGCTGCCCCGGAGAGAAGAACACTCATTGCTCTGAAGATCAAGGAGTGGAAAGTTCCTCACCAGCCCTGAGATCTTAAGGTTTGTCCACCTGGGAAGGGGGTGGGGGTGGACATAGAGGGTGAGAGGAATTAAAGAGGGATTAGGATAGAACCTCTTTTCCCTTTCCCCATTTCTAGACTTTTCCCCTTCTAATCTGTAATAATTTCTATGCAATAGCCTATTCAATGAAGATCAAGAAAGCTGACCCTGAAATAATAAAATTCTCAGTTTTGTTGCCATATGAGCTTCAAATCTCAAAACAAGCTAATACTTATCTGTGTTAAAGAGAATATGGTAATGAATTGGGCAGAGAGGTGTTTCAACATTTAGGCAATTAGGTGTTGAAACTTCCCACCTGCTGCTCAGTCTCAGCAGAACTGTGATAATGGCTTGTCTTATGGAGCCCAGCTATCAGGCGCCACAGGGCTCCTTCTTGGGACCATATTTCAGGGGCAGCAAGCAACTGGCATTGTTGAATCTGGATGCTAATGCTAAGTGTCTATGGAAGTCCCCAAAAGTTCTTTTCATTGCTATTTCTGGATTTGGGGTGAACATGTTGGAAAGGGTCTTAGTTCTCTGTTGTTATGTGCCGTCGAGTCGGACCCAACTCATAGTGACCCCTCCTAGGGTTTCCGAGGCAGTATCACTACGGAAGTAGATTGCCCCATCTTCCTTCCAAGGAGGGGCTGGTGGGTTTGAACCGTCAGCCTTCTGGTTAGCAGGCAAGTGCCTTAGGCCTACACTACCAGAGCTCCCATAGTTCTCTAGTGGTGCTATAATAGAAATACCGCAAGAGGGTGGCTTTAACAAACAGAAATTTATTTTCTAACAGTTTAGGAGCCTCCAAAAACCCAAACTCATTGCCGTCGAGTCAATTACAACTCACAGCTGATCCCATAGGATGAAGTGGTACTGTCCCATAAGGCTAGAAGTCTGAATTCAGACTGCCGGCTCTAGGGGAAGGCTTTCTCTCTGTTGGTTCTGGGGGAAGGGCCTCTTATCTTTCCATCTTCTGTTCCTTGGCCCTCTGGTGATCTTCATGTGGCATGCATCTGTGTAAGCCCACTTCTGCTTCTTTAATTTGCTCCTTTTGTATCTCAAAACAGATCCACTCAAAACACACCCTACACTATACTCATTAACATAACAGAAAAACAATTCCCTATGGGATTATAACCACAGATATAGGGGTTAGGATTTACAACTCATATTTGGGGGGGGTGTTGCACAATTCAATCCATAAAAGAATGTGTACTCTTAAACTTTGGCAAACCTGACCAAAGCTTTATGGTTAGTTATGCTTGGCTTATCACAGAAATTCCTATGTTTACCAGAAGAGAAAATTCAGGCAAGTCTTTTCCATCACATCCCACTATTAACTGGTCCTGAAAGACCCTGAGTTCATGTCTTATGGAATCATATATATAGGTAATAGTTGCAATATAGATAATTCTGGAAGGAGACATCATCTCATTATTTGACATTTTTACCTTTTGTTGAATGCTATTTGTGAAATCAGCTGATTTGTTTATTAAAATTTGTTTAGAATCTGCTTTGCTAGTATCACATCCATGCAAGATATCATCATGGGCAATTACTATTACAACATGGCTGTAACAGTGCTCTTGGTCATGAACTTTGAGAGGACAGGAGCAGTACAGGATTCCTGTGGGGACTGCCCAGCTGGTAAGAACCAGATAATTCACATGTGCACCTGATCTGTCCTGTCAGTCTAATAGTCAAGGCTAATGACCTCCCTTTTAATTCTCTTTTGTTTACTCGTTTACAAATATTTATTAGATGGCACATAATAGTTGAGTGAGCAGAACCAAGTCACATAACCACATCTATGGGTAATAAAGAACTTACCTCATAAAGTTGCTGGAAGGATTCTATGAAGGGTGGAGATGAGTGTGTGGTTCAGGGCAAGAGCTCAGTACACTTTAGTATTGTCTGCAGGTCTTGTGCTCAAACTGAGGGTATAGCAGGGAATAAGCTAGGGCCAGAGGGCTTAACAGAGTGGGAAGAGCTAGACAAATTTAAATCTTTGTGTACCAATAATGGGCAATGATCTCCTGGATCCAAATGGCATTTCCATCAATCATTCTGTCCCATTCAATAGATAAGGGAACATTTCTCTTTCCATTGATTTATCTGTTGTGATATCTGTATTTTGTTACTTATAATACTGTGATTATGCTGAAGGCAATCTTGTAAATGTGCAATTTCAAAAAGTCAACCAACAAGAGATATCACTGTGGTATCTCAAAAGCTAATATATTCTACTTATCTCATAAACTTCCATAATGCTGTGAGTGATAAGTATTTGTTATTAAACATGTCTAGCTATCATCTACCTTTCTCAGGTACTTTCTGTGAGAAGAACAAGAATCAGAGATGCATTCCTTGTCCTGCAAATAGTTTCTCCAGCATCGGTGGACAGAAGGCCTGTAACATATGCAGGCAATGTGAAGGTAGGATTTACCATATGCATTCTTCATCTATTGGGAAGACAAGTTTGATTCCTTATGGTCTTGACCTCGGGAGTTCTGGGTTGTGCAAACGGTTAATGCGCTCAGTTGTGAACTGAAAGTTTGGAGATTCAAGCCTACCTGAGGGGCCTCAAAAGAAAGGCCTGTTGATCTACTCCAAAACATTAGCCATTGAAAATCCAATGGAGCACAGTTCTGTTCTGACATATGACATCATGAGTTGGTCGACTGGAGGTCTTGACCTCTGCTGAAAGGTGTAAGTGCCAAAGGTGCTGATATCTCTATGAAAATGCAGGTACAGTAAAATAATTTACTACAATGGCAATTATTTGGAGAGTGAGTTTTTTTTTTAATTTTTATTATGATTTGGGTGAAAGTTTACAGAGCAAATTCATTTTCCATACAGCAGCTCACACCCACTTTGTCTCATGACATTGACTACAATTTCCCACAATGCAACAGCTCCCCTCCCACTTCCTCCCCATAGTTAGCTCTTCCCTGTGTCCTTCCCTCTCATGCACTCTGGCCCCTGAGCTGTCACCCTGTGCATACAATCTCTTCTATTCTCCCATGATGGATCTCTCCAGGGAGTGTATCTACCTAATGTAAATGTTCAGCTCATGGGGATTAAGCTTTTTAAATATTAGAGGAAGCATTCTTTTGACAAGAGAGAGGTTTTTAATTAGCAAAACGTAAAAATATCCTTTATGGAGACTGAAAAGTAAGCTTTACACTCTGATGTCATAAGTAGCATTATAATAGAGTAAGCATAGATTTTATTGCCGAATTTTTCATCAAAAATTTTCTTCCTGATTTGGCAGTCAAGTGTCATGTCACTTTGGGGGGACTTTGCAGGTGTTTTCAGGACCAGGAGGGAGTGCTCCTCCACCAGCGATGCGGAGTGTGAGTGTATCCCAGGGTTCCACTGCTTGGGGGCAGGATGCACCATGTGTCAAAAGGATTGCAAACAAGGTCAAGAATTAAAAGAAGATGGTACGTTTGCTATTTTCCCATCTATTATTAGTCTGCTGTCTATACCTAACTCATTAGCTTTGGTCCTGATCCTTTGTACATAAAATAAAAAAGGAAAAAATAATATAAAATCTTGAAGTTAAGTAATGTACCACTGAGTCAAGTATATGATACTTACAAAATTATTTTTCAATAAATGCAAATAATTGGAAATCAGAACATCTGTCATTCACCAGAACCATGTATTTCATACATGTACAATACCCTATATATAACTAGAATGAAAACTTTAGCACATTTAGCGTCTGATTTCACTAAGAATTGTTGAAAAAATTTGTGTACATTAAATGAATGATCTACTGTATTCATCATAGTAAAAGTTATGAAATGATGAAAATGCTTTCTTTTTAATTATTGCTTTAATTTTTATGCAAGGTTGTAAAGACTGTTGCTTTGGGACATTTAATGATCAGAAACATGGCATCTGTCGCCCCTGGACAAAGTATGTATAACATTAATTTCCTTTGGCTTAGAAAATAACTTGGGTTAAGCTTTTTTAAAGACAAGGAATGCTACCTTTGAAGGTGTTTATGCCTATGAATTGTAGACATAGTGGTGGTGGTGTTAGCTGTCATCAAGTAGGCTCCGACTCACGGCAACCTTGCGTATAACAGAATGAAACACTGCCAGTCCTCCACCATCAGCACTGTGTTGGACAATATGCTGTTGTAATTCATAAAGTTTTCATTGTCTAATGTTTAGAAGTATATCACCATGCCTTTCTTTCTAGTCTGTGTTAGTCTGAAAGAGCCACTGAAACCTAACCAGCATGGGTGACCACACTGGTACCTCAAAGACCAGAGGTACAGCTTCCAGCATCACAGCAACATGCAAGCCACCACAGTACAGCAAACTGACAGACAGGCAGCACAGGGATAGTACGAGGTGATGCAAAGTGGACGGGTGCTGCTGCCGTTAGGTGCTGTTGAGTTGACTCTGACTCATAGTGACCCCATGTGACAGCGGAGAACTGCCCTATAGGGTTTTCTGGGCTATAATTTTTACAGAAACAGATCACCAGGTCTTTTTCCCATACAGATGCTAACCTTCTGGTTAGCAGCCAAGCACTTAACTATTGTGCCACCAGGGCTCCTTGTGCTGCCTCTTATGTTCCCTCATTAACCAGTCCATCCTCATGAGTTCAGTGCCAGCACTGAGAATAGTACACGTGAGAAAGGTAACATGTGTTACCCTACCCTCAAAAATGTAACATGTACTTAGAAAAATAGGCCCACTACATATAGTAAAACACCAAGAGCATGAGAGAGAACATTTCTGCTGACTACCAGGGCTACACAGTGTGTGTCCTGTGGTCAGGGCTGGCCTACAAATGCTGTACATCTGTGGCAAGAGTGATACAGAAGTGGAGAGCAAGTGTGCAGACACCTTTATGGCAATTAAGTCTTTTTTTTTTTTTTGGCATGTTGACTCTAATAATAAAAACTCGGGCCTTGTATTTTGTCTGCCTTTGTTCCCTTTTCATTTGATTTTCCAGTAATTCATTTTCATTATATTTTACAAAAGGATAGGTTTCTAACATACTGAAAAAAAAAAAATTTAATGGTCTTCTTTCAATTCACATAGCTTAGAGTAGCCAAGTGAGTCTGCATGGAAAAGTGGGCTTTGAACTGGGTTTTGACAGATAGGTAGATTTTGGCTAGATATAAAGGGGTAAAGGGAAAGACATAACCACAACAACAGCAATAAAAATAGTAATGGTGGCCTTGTTAGGTCTTAGGGTGGCAGAGACAGTTTGCTCTTAGCTACTAACTTAAAGGTTGGCAGTTCAAACCCATTCAGCAGCACAACAAAAGAAAGGC